CCTATTGATTGTTTGTGCACCATCCTGACCTAGTGTTTCTTTTCTGTTCACCTACCTTGCAGCTGCCTGTTTTACATATGCAATTCCGTCGCCGATACAATTGTACCATATCTGCACTTCCAACGCCGACACAATTGTTCATCTGCATTTAGTATTCTAACAAGAAAGCTGTGGATACTGAAGCTGTGCAGCTTGTCTCTGATAGAAGGTAAAGCAGCCCGAGGACTCTTCTACAGTTGGCTTTGGCAATCGAATGAGAGCACCTTCAGTCTTCGTGCCTCTGACAATTTATCTAACCAGGCATTACTCTACCACCTCGAGGTTCCTCGTTCACCACCCACCACCCACCGCATATATTACGCACAACAATCCCATTCTTCATTCCAATCACATGCATTGAACATCATTCCTGCCCTTAGAGCCATTGTTCTGAATGCACCCACTTCAGCCATGCAGTCACAATACACCTACCGTGCCTCTCTAGGCTCGAACTGGCCTATTCTTTCTGCACCACGCCCTCTGGCAGCCAATTCTGCGCCTAGCTTTTCGAGGACCACTGAGCACACTGTCATGAATTCTAACACCGAGGCCACGACCTGGTCCAGAATTGTCAGTTCTCGGCCTCCCACATCTCAAAAAGAGCATTCTCCACCTGGTATAGGACGCATGGCTCTGAAGATCCCGCGTAACTTCAACGCTTCAGTATCTCCTAATGCTTCCCCTAAGAAGCGTAGAGTCCACAACAACGCCCCTGTTGCTAACATGTGGGACGATCGGTACGGGCCCGAGCCACTACTCACCGTTCTGCCGAAGCTGGAGAAGAACCCCTTTGTTGATGGGGAAGATCAAGATACACGAGAGGCAGCCGTAGGACTGATGAAGCTAGCTACTTCCCACGTTACCAGCGCTGGCCTGCCTGGCACAGTGCAGGATCACGAAGAGAAGAAGGAACGTGACAACAAGACGAAATACCCAGAACAGAAACAATGCATAGATGAATGGGCTGATATTCGCGCTGCGGTTGAGGCAGCCGCCCTCCAGGGAGCTGCTAGAATCGGCTCAAGCAAGAAGAACACAGCTAGGACCAATCGACTTGTTGCCTTTGACGCCGGACAAGGCAACGCTGATATCTCACCTACCAAGCAAACATCGACCAACGAGATTATCGACAAGCATACGACCATCCCTTTCAACACCCCTGCTTCGGCCCATCAAGGTTGGCTGTCCCCTTATGAAGGGAAAGACTCGAATGATGCCAACTCCCATCACTGCATTGACAAGACAAACGAGCCAGACAATAACTCTGGTGATTGCGAGGGGGGTTCAGTGACTACATATTACGGCACTGACGGCTCCTATGAGACAGGTTACAAAACAGTCGAGTGGGACAATACTTCCCGAAAGCTGAATTGGGCGCCCTATCCATGGAAGCATCATGAAAGGCTTCAGCAAGTCGTCTCGGCCAACTTCGATCAAGGACGCCAGCGAGAGGGCTCTTGGAGCTCGTCCAAGTCCCGGCTTAGCGACGAGGAGAAGGACCGCAAGCGCTGGGAGGCTATTCAAACCAATATGCGACGCACTGGTCTCGATAAGTCGCCCCACGTACCGGTGAATTTTGAGGAGTACATCGATCTCAAGTGTGCAACTGCCGAGTTCGCAGCGGATGCAGGAAGGAAGCAGCTGAGATACCGTGAAGAATGCGACAAGAAACTTCGACGCCAGATCAGCGCTGGGCAACCCTTGGAGCAACTCGCCGGCCAGCTCACCATTCCACAATGCCTGATTGAACCCGTGGATGAACTATCCGTAGTTCTCGCCCGCAGGAGCATATGGGCCGAAGAGTTGTACCTGCACCAACATACCCACTGGCCCGGCCTGAAAGAGTTCAAGGCTGCTGGTGACGACCGCGCTCAGATGCAGGCGAGCCGCACGTTGCCCGAGCCGCGCACCGACGAACTAGATCCCAAATTCGCCTACCTGACCGAGGGACCAGACGCCATTCCAACTTATGGCCCCGAAGTACCCTGGGAATACCGCACGGTTGCTCAGTGGGCAGTCCAAAGTCCGAGATATGATTGCTTGATCATGCATGAAGCAATCGAGATGGACGACCCGACTTGGCCTGTTGCGGAGCTCAAGTTGTCTGAAGTGAACGAGACTATCCAAGGTCTCATCGAGAAGCTTGACAATATGGAATGAAGGTCCGGGGTTATTGGAATCCTCAGAGATTGGGTCTATCCAGCAACGCCTATCGTTCAGAGATGTAATACCTTCTATTCCTCTTGGCCTGCACACTCTCGTTCTGGTAGATACGGCAACACTTCTAATACTTGTTTACAGCGTGTAACGACACACGGAGAAGTGATATTGGTTTGGCAATTAAATCTGGAGATAGGGGACCGTCATGTGTGAATAAGGAAGCACTGGATCTTTTGCCTTTTCTGTTAGCACTTTCATAGGGCTACTTTGACAAGGCTCATGATGATCTGAGAGTATGGATAACAGCAACAGGCACAACCGAGCTGCAAGTAGCTGAAAGGGAGACAAGAGTATTTCCTGATAGTATTCATACTTGTATGGTAATTACCTAGCAAGCTACCTGATATCTGGTAACCGGACACCGATAGATAGGCTAGGGAAACAATGTCATCATATAATTTCTGGTGCAATTAATGACCGTATCATCAACTACGTACTGAAGTGATATCAATATATGGAGTATATCGCTGTGCTGATTATATATGAGCTCAGAACAATAGATCTTCCACAACACTAACACCGTGATCGCTGGTAGTCACTGTATATGCTCTCCTCCGCTTCCACGATCCATCGACCCATTTCTCTGTCAGAGTAGATTAATGATATTGTTTTGCTGATAGAGTAATGAACATGACATCCGCTGCGGGGGGCAGTGTTATAACACTGTCTGCACCTTCCTTACATCTCCTGAGGCTTTCTTCCCTGACACTGAGAGGGTTGCCTAAAGAGGATTTCTCCTGTCTATCCACCAGGCGGCTTCAATAGATTGAAAGAAGACTGAGAGGTCTAAGCGGGTAAATTCCTTGGAACTACGCCTAAGTCTCCAGAATGGGCGATAGTTACATAAACCATTTAGGTCCTATGCCACAAGTGTTTATAGCAGTTGATCATCCAGCTACCTACGAGGCTTCGAATGCCGCTAGTACGGCACGGTTGCCTCCCCATATAGGTTTAGCTGTTCGAGGGGGTTATTTTGACTCCAGCAAGAGCTTCGTCACCTCTGTAAACTGACCTACATCGACCATCGAAACGAAGATCGTCTCAGGCCTCCTTTTATGATAAAAGGCTTCGGGTGTCTTATCACTGACGTGTGTTGGCGGCGCGAGTAGCTAAAGGTTATCTAGATCACGATTTATTGCCGCAAGTCCCACAAGGATTTTCTAACTTGGGCCTGTCATGTAGACAAAATTCGAGGGCTCAAATAGCCCTATTCCTGGTCACGCTCGGGGATGGAGACGGCGTAGGAGCTTTTCCTCGAACACTCTGTCAATAGTAACAAATCATATCCCGTGGCTGCAGTCATGAGGTCGAAGCCTGGTAGAAGCGCGTCTTTATGAAGGGGTTGGGATAGCATTGTTTCTCCTTTCGTACCTAGGCACGAGAGGCAGTACATAAAGACTAATTTTTGCCCTTCCCCCCTATTCTCTTCGCTTCTTCTCGACTCCTGACCACCATGGATATCGAGCCGCAAACGCAACTTCAAGCAATGCACTCTTAGGCTCCTGACTTTGCGTGCCCCCCGCTCTTCTCCCGTCCGACGGCATTCAGTGGGACGACTTTAACGAGAACCATCAACGGCCAATTTACTCAGGCGGCTCAATTATTAATATTGACGGGTATGATAAGTTGAAAGAATTGGAAGAGTTTGACTGGTCTTAGTTTCGTGAGCTGGCCCACTACGCTACATGCAACGAAGCCGATATCACCGATGAGGACATCTGGAACTTCTACGTTTCACTGCAAGAAACTCAAGCGCTTGTCCAACCGATTGCCCCGGCCAGTCTCTACGGAGCCTATGAAAATCTTGTCGACTTCACCATCGAAGAGAACACTGACGGGCCTTCTTCACAAGCCAGCCTCCCCCTCCCTCCCTCCCTCCCTCCCTCCCTACGAGCTTCTCGTGATGCTGCTCAACTGTCCCACGATCGTCAGCAAGATCTCTGCATGAGATGTGTAGATTACTCTTCGCTGGATGATGCCAGTACACATACACTTTGGCGTGAAAGGATACTTTAGGTCTTGAGGAAGGCAAGAATGCAGATAATACTATCTTATCAATACTAAGTGATTCTTTGGACTTTCTAACAGTACATGTATTTGTTAACGAGGAGGGTACTCCTATTAGACTCTGGGATTCTTGAGAGAGACATGGTGCAGGACTGTTGGTACTAAGATTTTAGCAGTATGTAATCCATCCGTCCTGGTGCGTTAGCATAATGTCTATCATCTACGGAGATTGGCTAATTGAGAAATGGTTTAAGCCGCTTGAAAACTACCTATAGAAGTACGTATTTCATTCAAGGAAATATACACAGGCGACGAGTAGATGCAAGATAAGCTGAGGTGCACGAAACAAAGGCGTAAATCGGTAGGCGTACTAGTCGCCAACACAGGGCGTACTGGTGTACCAACCTGATCCCATTACTATGGTTGCTGCCCAGTAAAAGTGACCTGGGTCCCTCTCACTCCCACACACACCAATATGTGCTGTTCCAAGCCAGTACTGTTCCCAGGTCGTACCAGTACAAGGCTTAATCCGTACTGATCTCGGTCTAAACTAATACGGATCGTGCTTGTACGGGCTTCACGATCGCACTGGTACAGGATCCCAGCTATTATACTAGTAGGGAGGTTAGGACTTTGAATTATGTGGCATCATCTGTGGGTACAGAGGCTTAATGTCTAAGCACGTTCATATAATTAGTAGTATATAAGATTAATAAATGAGATATTCAGTACTAGCTTTTGTGGGGTAGTGGTAACCCATGTGGATTCCCTTTCGGAGGGCCCATGCGCAAGACGTCGGTTCGATTCCGACCAGGAGTAGTTTATTATTTTCTTTTTTTAAGTGTCTCACAATGGCTGTAGCAGTAGCAGTGTAGTAGGATGACTATCTATACCTTATGCCATGTGAAAATGTACAGCTTGAAAAAGGAGAGAAGGAAATGTGTGGTGCGTGCAGCCCTGAGTATAGGCGCGCGTAGTGAGTGAGGTATAGTGAGGTCTCTAGAATTAGGTAGTCGGAGGGCGACACAGTCGAAGTCGATGAGCATGACACGGTGGCGCTCCTAGTTCCAGAGTATATTAGGCTCGCGCTCATCATCGTGATCCACCCCTGCGCTCCACACTGCCCGCGACAAGCGCTTCCGCTCTTGCTGGTATTAATAGGGTGTCGGGAGCCGCTTGCGGCAGTGCAATGTAAGGACACGTTGGGACAATTCTCGTCAAGATCCCATCCTCTCGAAACCCAACAAGCAAGCCTGTGTATAGTATTGCCTGGTAGGTGGAGAGCCAGAGTCCGATAATATCTCCTGATGATCGTCCTCGGAGCTGCCGCTCGACGGCACTTCCTTCCGCTTGTTCGCACCGGTGCTTTCCAGTGTTCTTGGCAGAGCTCGGGAGGGGCCGTTATCTTCGTCTTCGTCGTCTCTTCAAGTCGCTGTGTTGTCTCTACAGGTCAATCTTGATCGTAGAATGAACTCTCGGGCAGTGGGACGTATGTTGGACTTATCCTCATATAATGACGCAGCCGTTGCCTGCGATGATGGCACAGATTGTGAGGAATTCATGTTCTCAGTCTCGAGATGTCCCTCCGCTTCCTTGTAGGGTTCCGGCCAGCTTTGTAGTTCTCCTTTTGCTTTCTCTAAAACTTTGTTGAGCACAGATCCTTAAAGGGCTTCGGATCCAAGGGCCAAGAGGCAGAAGCTTGCTAGTTGAGCTACTACTGTATAGGATTCCTTCGAAATCCCTGTTTCCGCCAGTCGCTTCTTCACCTGGCACACAAAGTTAATAGTATAATGTCCGTAGATCGTCTTGTTTGCCGGCTGTGACATAGCCATACGCAACCCTACGTTGAACCATATAATCGGATACCTGTATTAAAGCATGGTAACTTGTTCATCCGCCTTATATCGGTCCTTCACTTGAGGATCGAATTTGGTTTTATTCTCGTTAACCCGTTGAATGACCTCTATGAATAGCTTCTCCTTGACAAGAGCCGGCTTGAGATTTTCGACCCTAAGTTTATGAGCCGCCTTATAGTAATAAACGAAGGCCAATTTCTCGTCGCCTCCTAGGTGCTTGTAGAAGTCCAGTCCGTCAGGGTAACCCGGCTGATAGACTTTCTGCTCGGACACAACTCGTTCGCTTAGCCCAGATTGCCATCGGCGACCCTGCATTTCTTGGCTCTGCTCCGAATCTCCCATATGAACGATGTCGCCCTGCCGCTTCAATTCGTGGTTATTGTTACTGAATCGTAGCTTAGTGAAGTTGAACGTCTGGTATATGCGAGGGTCGACTTCGACTAATTTCTGAAATATCTGCCGTACAGGTGATTCGATTGCAACTTTCTCGAAAGTGTCGATATCCTTTTCGGTAGCTACTAGAACCAGGCAGGCATCATCTATTTTATCGCGAGTAGCAATCGATTGAGGAAATAGTCTCTCGTCGCCGAAGGCCCTGTTGATCTCGTCAAAATGGTATCACTGAATATTAGCAAAGTCGCTCCAACGACGAAGCCAGATAGGATAGCGCTTACCATCGACTTTCGTAGCATGTCTAGTGGAAGACACAGACTTGTCAGCAATCCGGAGAGCTTTGAAATGTGAAAGTGGCAATCCTGTAAATAATTTCACAGCGTGGTCTTTTGGTCTGGAGCCTGAGCTGTTCCTCTCGTGCCTTTGCTTGTTCTAGCTCATGCTGGAGCCGCTCGATTTCTCGAAGATGTTTAGACATGGCGAGTACTGACGGGTTGTGCAGAGTTCGATCAGTGTCGATTCCAAGGTGGAGGAGAAATGGGAGTTTCCCGATGCAGCGAGAAAGGGTTCTGGGACCAGCAAAGACTCCTTCGAGAACAGGTGATTTATTGAGGCCTAAAAGTCCTGGGTACTTTTTCAGGCACCTACTTTGTTCTATAATGAAACCCCCAATTACTAAATATAAACAAATTAAATAAGTTAGGCTATATTAATTATTAATTAATATCTCTATTGTGTTATAGTAACTAGTATCTTTAGCAAATTTGTATATCTGACGGGTGTGGTGCGATGCCCACTTCAGCTGCGAAAATGATATGATATGATTGGGAGGCCCCCTGCAGATCTCGTGACCGCCATAGCCTCATATTTGGCGTCAACGAAAAGCTGACAACTCGCACCTCAACTGGCGTTCTGCATCGGCATTCTGGCAGCGTGCTTATCATCTAAGCCCGACTATGCGTCTCCTTCAGCTGGGGGTTAATGATAGGTTGACCGTCACCAAGGACCTTCTCCCACATGAAATCTCCCAATATGCGAGGAAGAGGTGACCTTCAAAGATATCAGTGAAGGCACTGGGCAAAAAAGAAATGGATACAAGAAAATCCTCTTCTGCGGACAGCAGGCTGCTGCCGATAACCTTGGTTACTTTTGGGTAGACACTTGTTGCATCGATAAGTACAATCTGACAGAATATGCACTTTAAACATTACGTTTTTTTAGGCCGCTCGCAAGTTTTCACATTTCTCTTGGGCTTTTATGTCAGGGCTTCGGCGATAGGCAGTATCTCCGATGAGGGGTAGTATATAAACCCTTCAGCTGTTAAGGTATTATTCGGCAGGTTTCATTCTGTCTTCATAGTTGGTTCTTGGAATAAATGCCCTTTCACGCTGCTTTGTAGCCCACCTCCTGACATGAGTCTCCTGTAGGTAACAGCCTCTTGCATCGCAAAGGATCAACTAACCAGTTGGTGATCTTACTCAAGTGAATTTAACCTGCAGGAGCCTGCTGCTTCTTTATATGATCTGCGTCATACTTTAGGATTACCCATAACCAAGAAGCTGCCGGCTGCGGGAGAGTTCGCTGCGGGGAGGTTGGGGATAGGTCATGAAGCTTAAATAGTGGAACAGTGCCAAGCGAACATTAAAGACCCGGCAGATGAAGATAACGTGAGTTAGGAATACATAACGTTGTATTGCATGAAGCAAAGAACCCAAAGTATTCCATTTGGGATAGATCTAAAAAATACCATGCATAACTCGACTGGCGCCTGATCCGTTTCTTTTTCGTAATAACTGGGATTGGCATCATATGTGCAACGTGGTACAGTGGGGGACACAGCCAAGTTGAATACAACAAGGTGGCAATCGCATATAGGTTGAGCGAATAGGAAGCAAATAGGAAAGCTTTCTGCCCCTGCAAGGATTGGAGGCTCGCGAATTCACTCGCTGATGTATTTCATTTTCATTCCTTCATACTTCATACTCCAAGCCAACCGAGCAAACATCTGTGAACTCAGGTGAAACCACTTCGCCCGTTTTCACGCACACAAATCAAGGGCATGGCCTACACTTCATCTCAAATCGTTATCCCTGGAGTCGTTGTCTTGTTGGTTATCCTTTCCCGGAAGATTCTGCAGATTGGCCGACGGCCTCCAGACCTTCCGCCGGGGCCTCCGACCGTACCCATCTTAGGAAACCTCCATCTAGTACGACTAAATGTTACACAATTTGCAGCAATGCAATCCGTTTACACCGTTGTTGATTATTTGTAGATACCTAAGCACGATGTCCATTTGCAGTTCCAAAAGTGGGCGCAAGAATATGGACAAGTGTATAGCTTGATACTAGGAACTAAAACCATGATAGTCCTCTCTAGTGACCGCGCGATAAAGGACATCATGGATAAAAGAAGCGCTATATCTAGCGACAGAATGGATATGTACATAGGCCAAACGGTAGCGAGCGGGGGGCTAAGAGTCCTGATGATGGCAAGTCATTCCTAGATAAAGAAGTTTATCTATGGCTAAAACTTTTTATTATATTGCCAGCGATATGGACAAACCTGGAGAATGGTATGCCGCCATTTTGAAATCTTTGAGAGTACCAGCTGACCATCTCCTAGATTCGGCGGATTATGCATGACCTACTGAACGTACATGCCGCGGAGGCCTTTGAACCTTATCAAGCACTTGAGAACCAACAAATGATGTACGATATTCTCAACGACCCCAACAATTTCGTGCAACACGTTCGTCGATACTCAAACTCTCTGATGACGACCACTACGTTTGGGTAAGAGACCCCTAATATTTCACATTTTAGGCTGAGGAATAGCTAAATCTTCAGATACCGAGTCTCGACTTGCGAAGACCCTCACTTCAAAGAACTCTTTGAGGTGCTCGACGAGGTTCTTCTACTTGCACAAACAGGCCTAGCCGCGCTACTTGACTACCTTCCCATTTTGCAGATGCTTCCGACATGGATACTCTCCGTGAAGCAACGTGCTAGATCAAACCATCAGCAGGAGAAAATCCTTTACAGGTATCACTGGGACAAAGCCAAAGCCAACATATTATCTTTAAAAACCCCAAACCCCTCTTTTAGCGTGGGTCTTCTTCGAGAACAGAAGAAACATGGCTTCGACGACGACTTTGCTGCGTATATTACCGGAACGCTCCTCGAAGCGGGGACCGATACGACCGCGAACACTCTCATCTGGTTTCTATGCGCTATGCTCATCTTCCCCGCAGTGCAGGAGCGCGCAAAATCCGAGCTTGACCAAGTGGTAGGCGCAGACAGGATGCCTTCGCCTGAGGACGAGCCAAACCTACAGTACATACGTGGGTGCGTTAAGGAGTCTCTTCGTTGGATGCCCGTTACTATTATGGGCGCGATGCCTCACGCTCTTACGCAGGATGATCACTACATGGGATTCCGGTTGCCGAAAGGAGCGGCACTTGTGAACAATGTTTACACAATACACCGCGACGCCGCTCGTTACCCGCATCCGCGCCAATTTGATCCCGACCGTTTCAAGGACGACAGGCAGAACTTGTACGATGCAGCCGTC